ATTCCTGCATCCTGTATACTTTTGAAGGGCAAAGAATGGCAAGGTCTCAGCACCTTAGTGCTGCACTGAGCCTCACCTGCGCAGCTCTCTACCATTTGGAGAATATTGACAAGAATAACAACATATCCTGAGGTATTTAAGTGTTCAAATCTGAGAAATCTGTATTCACTTATGGTCAGCTAAAGTTGAGGACAGAAAGGAAAGGGCATGGGTTTAAGGGATTTTTGGTCTTCCTAACCTAAATGGTCCTGGCCACATTCTTAAAGATAATCTTTATCTTGATGTTAGGCAAAATGAACAGCTCACACCTGCTCAGAAAAATTTCTAGTTTGAGACAAAAATGCTATACAACACACAGTTTTAGAGAAGAATGCTAAATGACAAACAAACAGCACTCGAAATGCCAGAAGGCTCAGTGACGGGTTTGTCTTGGACCCCCAGGAAAGGGATAATGGTTTCTGGAGCCAGAACCAGAGCTCTGAAGCCTGAAAAGCTCCATCTGCTGTGTGCTCAAGAAGAAAGGTAGGAATAAAACTGTTTTGAAGTCTCTGCAGCTGGAATTCAATGGAAATTTTTTTTTCTGCAGGAAAAAACACCTTGAGCACTTCAGCAACGGGTCTACTCCATCTCCTTTGCTGACATTACCTGCAGGATGAATGTACATGCTGCCAAAAGAGGCAGACCTGGCTGCTTTGCTTTTCTCGGTTATTTGTGCCTACAGCACTGCCGCTGTAGGTTAAAGAGACCCAGGGAATTGTCCTGGCTAAAGAATAATCTCTCTTCTGGCTAAGCCAGTTCTCAGCTCGATCATTTTCCCCAATGTAAGTCTTGTGTCACCTGCCACACAACTCCTGAAGCTGTCTAGGCAAAGGCACGGAAGTGCTTCTCATTTGTCATTTTGGCGATTTGCACAGCTTTTATGACACAATTAGCACACTGTGTGTTGTGTGCGGGGTATGCCAGATGTTTTATGATACAATTAGCACAGCATGTGTTGTGGGACCCACATCACGTGTTGCGTGTTGTGTGACTGGATTCTTGTGCGGAATCCTTGTGTTCAACAGACACTTGATATATTCGTATCACATTGAATATTTGACCTTATTTCATATTTCGAGCATGATTTGTCATATATGCACAGACAATGTACTGGTGCTGATGGAGAGGAATTTAGCTTGCAATCGTTGTGGAAGTCAAGTAAGGTACATATTACTGTTAATTATAATTCCTTTCTAATTTTCACTAATTTTCTCCTACATCAAAAAGGGGCATCATACTTTCTATCCATCAGGCAGTAACCACCGGATTCTGTTTCCTGCATCAAAATTCTGTGAAGATTCTCTGAAGCTCTAAAAAACACCCCATCCCACGCTGCCAGCGACTCAGTACTTTAACTAACGTTAATCTGAACTTAATCTACATTTAGAACAGTGTGGCACAATGTGTGTGAATTTTTTATTTACTCAATAATACAATACATATACAGGCAGGAACTATCAACAGCATCTTAGGTCTAGCAGAAAATTGTATTTCTAGGTAAGTAACGCATCTTACTTCGCAATGCTGAACCTTTGCTTTTCTGCACGGTGCCAACCATGCAGACGTCTGAGATGTAGTCTGAGATGTCCGGTAACAGTAAAGATGTTTCGCTTGGCTTAGCTGTTTTCGTTAGGTAGATCTGGGCAGCTCCCCACTTTGGGTGTGAATGAACAGATTTCTGCTTAGCTCTCCACTGCATGAGGAGCCTCAGCGCCTAACTCAAAATTTTCAGATTCCACCCAGAGACACAGTAATCATTTCTAAGCTGCACTGCACCCTGCCCCACTCTGTAGGCAGCTGAGCGACTTTGTATGTATTAAATACCAAAGGAAATACATGAATTACTGAAGGAAGACACAAGCTACATTGATCTGTCTGGCATTAATCAGAGCTAAGCAACCAGAAGGACCTCCTTTGAACTCCTAATTGGCATAGCCAAGTGGGAAGTGGTTGACCATTGACCATCACAGTCTATCACTGGAGTACATGTTCATTTTCTCAAGTTCAGTTTGAAGGATGCCTACCAGCCATCTCTAACACTTTCCATTTATGTAGCACACCAACTAGGAAAAAAAGCCTCCAACGAAACGTGGCAAGCATGATTTCTTTCCCTTTATTGAAGAATCAGTATCCATGAAAATTTGTGAAGAAATTACAATCAAATGGATTTTTGTTTTCCTAAGTGAGCATAACGCTTCATTGTCTCCACGAGCAGAGATGTTAATACTGTAAAATGTGCAGTGTATTTGAATTTCTACCGCTGCAGACCTGTCCTCAGATGCAGTTTATCTAATCTACACCTGTTTATACCAACTGAGCATACTGGTCATTTGGTCCACCTGTCCAATGCTGTGCATGTTCATTCATCACTTTCTCACCCACAACTCCACTATTTTACTCTTGTGTCACCAAATACCATCACGTTTATGTGTCGTTACTCACAGGTAGTAAGGAGAGAGTTCGAAGTCCATGATCAGACTTCTTTTACTTGCTTAACACTGATTCTGAACAGCCCTAGAGATTATGGCGGGACTTTTCTGTCTTGTGTTTTATTCTCATCAGCCCAAGATACTTTTTTTTTTTTTTT